TGAAGAAGTGGGTATTCACCCACGAAAGCTCATGCTCCTATATGTCTGTTAGTCTATAAGGTGCCACAGGACTCTTTGCTGCATTTACAGATCCAGACTAACACGGCTACCCCTTTGATACTTAACTCTCTCTAGTAATTTACCAGATACCTCATGTAACTGAGTGAGCTTAACATGCGAAAAGCATGTTTCACAGCAGGGGAGTGGCAACAGTGCTAGAATTGGGGGGGGTGGGGTGCCATCAACATTTGGTATTTACGACCATTTATACCTCACTATTGTTCCTATTATATTGCAGTTTCTTTTATATTCTGTCAGTGTAGGGCATGCCCTGGGAAGGTACCAATGGGAGGTGGTAGGGTGGGGGAACTTGAATGTCTCAATGGGCCAGTTAATTAACAGGCAAAGTCCCATTATGGCCCATGTTATACAGGAGGTCAGACTAGATGATCACAGTGCCCCTTCTGGTCTTAGAATTTATGAATCTATGAAGTCCTGCTGCTCAACCTCATCCCTTTCCTTCCCCCCTTGGACAAGCCTGTAAAGCCCCAGTGTAGTTCATTTTGTAAGGATTAGGCTTTCAGATCTGCACATCTTCCTTGGTGTCCAATAGCAAGTGTATATGCCTTTTGCTGGTACTCAGGGTAAACACTGCTCAGCACCCTTTGCCTGCAGCAGCAATGCTCCTGAACTTTTCATCTCGTCTGCAAAGTGGCTTGTGCTATTCTAAAGACAACTGTGTAAGAAACTCAAATGATGATGTGCTGCAGCAGGTTATCAAAGCATTCTGGGGCCTGGTCTATACTACAGCATTAGATTGACTCCAGGTGGCTTACGTCGACCTAACTCTGCCAGCGGCTACACTAAAATGTCGTTCCCACCGATGTAACTCACCCGTTATGCTGACTTAACTCTGCCTCTGCGAGAGGCATAGAACTTAGGTTGACATAGTTCGGGCGATGCAGTGTCAGTGTAGACACTGTGCTGCCTATGTCCACTGTTGCTGGCTTTCAGAAGCCTTCCCACAAAGCCCCACACTGACAGTTAAATCGGTGCAAGCGCTCCTGGTGAGGCCACAGGCTGCCGACACAAGGAGCACAGTGTAGACATGCAAAAGCGATTTAATTACTGCAGTGGCTCTGTCAATGTAACGTAGGTTGACATAATTCTGTAGTGTAGACATGGGTTTGGATGAGAGGTGTTCGTGCTGCAAGTAGAGAAACAGGAGTTGGATGATGGAAAGAACAGGGCACTGAATATGCTTGATCACATCTGGTTATAAACACTAAGCAGGACGCCCTGGATAATGCTTGGATGGGTTCCTCCAAAGCAGAGTTTGGATTAGGCTATTCCTTTAGCACAACAGGCACTGCTGACTCTATCCCCTGCCCTGTTCTGCATCACAAAATAGCCTATCCCTGCACAGTGGTGTTAACAAGACAGCTAACTGAAACTGGAACACTGTAGCAAAACTGCTTCGGAGCTGACTGATTTCACCTCATTCCCATGCCCTCACAATCTGGACAGGGTAAGGAATAGCCAAGAGAGTGGAATTAATTAGCTGGGAAGTACTGCTGCGACCCTGCTTCACAGCTGGTTGTTTCAATTACAGTAGAACCTCAGAGTTACGAACACCTCGGGAACGGAGGTTGTTTGTAACTCTGAATAAAATGTTATGGTTGTTCTTTCAAACGTTTACAACTGAACATTGACTGAATACAGCTTTGAAACTTTACTATGCAGAAGAAAAATTCTGCTTTGAATCATCTTAATTAAATGAAACAAGCATAGAAACAGTTTCCTTAACTTGTCAATTTTTAAAAAAACTTTCCCCTTATTTTTTTAGTAGTTTATGTTTAACACAGTACTGTACTGTACAGTATTTTTTTTAAGTCTCTGCTGCCTGATTGTGCACGTCCGATTCCAAATGAAGTGTGTGGTTAACTGCTCGGATTGTAACTCTGGTGTTCGTAACTCTGAGGTTCTACTGTAGCTGCTCTGGTCACCTCAGGTCAGGAGAAGTGTGAGGGGAGAGAGCAGAGGAATGGAGCTGTAAGAGGAGGATGGGAAGGGCACTGCAGAGGATGCTGTGGAGGGAGGGAATGGCAAAGGGAAGCAAGGAGGTAACTACATGAGTGTCAGGGAGAGAAAAGGAAGAAATACTTGAAAATATGTGTTCTATTGTTTCAGTGCAATTTTAGTGATGGAGAATTTTACCTGAGTTTCATAACATGCCACATCCAAGAAGGATCTGACCAAGTGAGCGGGGAATCTGCTTACGATGAAACTTGAGGAGATTTTACCAGCGTCTTTCCTCCCTGCTCCAGTCCAGCCTCTGCTCCAAGAGAAAAAGGAGCCAGTTCAACTTGGGCACCACATAGTAGTTTTAATGTTTAATGTTTAGTTGTTTTTGCCAGGAAAATACAGACTTTCCATTTTCTCCTTGGAGAGCCCTGCTGCTTTTAAATGCATAGATCCCAGTTTAATTTCTCACTGGGATGGACTTCTCGGAAGTAAATCTAGGGAAGGGGTGTCTTCTAGTTGTGAGCATGGGTCTCTGAAAGCCAGGAACCCTTTGCTCTATTCCTGGCTATTCCATTGGCTCATTGTGTGACCTGGGACAAATCATTTCACCTATCTGTGCTTCGGTTTATCCATCTGTAATATGGGAATGATAGTCCTTAAAGGAGTTACTGGAGACATAACCCGCTCATTCCTGATTTTCTGCCTGAGTGAAGGGGGAATGATTTGACTCAGCAGCTTGACTTTTGTTCCTCTCACAGGCCTGTTTGTGGCACGCAGCTTCCTTCTACTGCTTGCTGGCCGAGACAGCTGCAGCTTCCATCTTGGCCAGCCAGTAAAGCTGCAGCTGCTCAAAGCATGCTGGCTGGACAGCCACCATGCAGGCTGTCTGTTTTCCTGATGGTTTGTTGTTTGCTCCTCCAGCTCCTATCCCACTCATCTCTTCTCAGCTGTCACTATATGCCCTTACCCATCTATTGACTCCTTCTCCTCCCCCTCCCCCACACACATACACTGAAACCCTTTGATACATGTACTTCTGGTAAGGACTTGTGACGCTGGTCCTGGGATCTATCCCCCACTGGTGACCATACATATGGGCCCATGGCCTGTTACATTTTGATTACAATTCCAGACTAGCCCTGATCATGAACATTCAGGTCCAGGTTTGGGCCTGGATTTCAGTCCTCTTCCACATCTCTCACACTCTAACCTTAGAGATGGTTGGATGTAGGGTTCTGGCTTGAGCCCACCCCCAGTGATTGTGCAGAGTGGCTTAAATGGGATGTCTACGGGGCTTCCAGAAATGCACAATTCAGCACGTTCACAGGCAGATGTGGCATCTGAATGAAACTCCTCAATTTGCATGAGGGTCTTTGGACAGTCCCAGCCCTTTTCAATTAGCTCTGTGAGTAACCCTGGATAAGAATGCAAATGAAATTTTGTCAAGAGTGGATCTAATGTGTGTTTTTGTTTTTTGTTTTTTTTTTGCCATTGCCTGAACTATGCAGTGGGGAAGCTACTTGATGGTGATAGCTGTGTTGACAGCTCTGAGTGCTCCTGCATACATTCTGGCATGCGCTATCCTCCTGGCTCCTCCATCTCCCAGGACTGCAACTCATGGTAAATACAATGATGCGGTGCAATTGCTATGATCCAGGCTGCTCTAGATAAGTACTGCTCTTCAGTTTTATGTGCCCCCCCTTCTTTTAATTGGCAAATGCCCCAGTTTAAGATTTGGAAGAGCCAACCTCTTCCCAGAAGCAAGCTGTTCACAAAGACTCAATCAACTCCATTTTCACAGCGATATTTGATCTAGCAGAATTGTGTAGGGGTCATAGTCTTTCATGCAGTGGAAAAATATTTGTTTCCTGAATAACATAAACTTGCAGACTCCCAGTCCCAGCTAGTTTTCGACAGTGGAGTTTTGTTTTGACTTACTACATTTATTTAACTTCCCTTAAACCTAGTTCAAAATTTCCTTTGAGAAGGGCCAAATTCATGCCCTCTCCCTCTTGCAAAGCCATCATGTTGCCCCTCTCCAGCTTCGTAGCCTTAGATTCAATGTGCAACCTTCTTCTTTCACATCTACACTGAATGCCATCCTGAAGGGGCGAGGGGTTGTTACCCAAGCAGAGGGAAGGGAGTGAGCAATGTATCCTGAACTCTGTGTGTGTAAGGAGTTAGGGGAGCATTGGGCAGATGTTTCCAGTCAAACAAAAGAGGGAACCTGATATGCGGCCCATCCATAGCCACAGTGCAATAAAGCAGGAGGCTCTGTGTATCACCACAGTCAGCAAGAAGCAGCTCAGCCCCCCATGCCCATGTATCAATGACGCATGAGCCGTGACCACCACATTAGCAGCTCAACCTCTCCCAGGTGGGATGGAGTCCCACAACCCTAGGGCCTTCTGCAGCTCTGGGTTTGACAGCATCGTCCAAATCGCCCTGCCCTTGGAAGACTAGTCCAGTTTAATAGAATTCATCCTTAGAAAATGCTTCCTGCTATTCAGCCTAAATATTCCTTTGCTGAATGTTGTACCATTAGCCTCGCTTGTATCACCCTAAGTAATTCAGCTCGCTCCAGAGGGTGTACAAGGAATGGGCTAACTGATCAAATGAGAGCCAGCCAATCCCAATTCATTTTCTTATAAAAAGTTGTGGGGCTTGCAGGTGTTGTTCCATATAGGCCCAAGCGTGATAGCAACAGCCACTGGTGTGCATTGACTATGCCTTATATTACTACTGCCTCCAGGAGTTGATACTGAATCCATTCTCCCATCCACAGACCTGGAAAGAAATATTATTTCTCTCTCTTCCTCTCACACACAAGAAGGGTTATTCATCGTTAAGACTGTATGTGCCAGGGTTTCAGAGGAAACCCTCTGAGGATTTTTTTTAAACCATTCGGTTTTAGAAGAACACACGTTACAGCTAAAATAAACAGATGGCTTGGGGGGAAAAAAAAGGAGAGAGAGTTCTGTACTTTTATAATCATGCTGATTCACAGATTCCAGGCCAGAAGGACCATTGTGATCATCTCGCCTGACCTCCTGTATAACACAAGCCGTAGAACTTCCCCAAAATGATTCCTTTTAGAAAAACACTATTACAGTTCAATACTACAGTGTTTCCCAAGGGGCTAGCTGGAAGGAGTGTGTGTATGGAAGATGCATATGTTAAGCTGTATTGGGGCATGGGGGAGCATGACTGGGTTGATTTTTCTGAAAGGGGAGCTCAGCTTTCAACTGTTTTGGGACATGCCGCAGTGGATGTGAAATCATGCACCCTAACTTTTCAACAATATATTTCCTAGCATTTGTCGACGTGGCATCTGGATCTGCAGCAATGAGGAGTGCCCAGGTAAGCTGACCCTTGTGCTTATAGCTCCCCAAAACTATGTAAGCCTTGCCTAGGTCAGTCCCACGCATGGATGAGCGCACACACAGGGGAGTTGTCTTTGTCCTTTTTCGAGCTCTGGCTGCAAGTCAGCACCAAGATCATATTTCAAGAGTCCAGGAGTCCACAAGATAAATCAGGCTTTGCAGACGGGCTTGTGTGTGGCACTGTAAATACCTGTTTAGGGAAAAAAGCACAAGTTCTCTTTCCATTGCTTTTCTTGCCATGTTGTAAAAGAGCTGTAGGTTCAGAGTAGAAGCTTTCAGGTAAAGGAAAACTGCTCTGCTAACTTGAGTATCTACAATTTTCTAAGGGTTTATCTACATATGGACAAGAAAATTAATCTGAATTAACTAACAGTATGAATTTAAAGTGGATTAGTTAAATCACATCAAGCCCCCTGTGTGGGCACTCTTATTCAGAATTAAATTGACTTTAATTCAGTTTAGCTTGATTGACTTTCAAAGTGAATCAAGCTAAACTGAATTAAGGCCACTTTATTTCTGAATAATGGTATGTCTACACTGCAATTAGACTCTGCATGGGGCTTGGGCTAAGGGGCTCTTTAATTGTAATGTAGACATTCAGGCTCAGGCTGCAGCCCGAGCTCTGGGACCCTCCCCCCTCGCAGAGTTCTACGGCCCGGGCTCCAGCCTGAGTCCAAATGTCTACACCACAATTATACAGCCCCTTTGCCCGAGCCCCACAAGTCCAAGTCCGGTGGCATGGGCCAGCCGTGGGTGTCTAATTGCAGTGTAGATACCCTAAGAGTGTCCACACAAGGGTTTAAGGGGGGGGAGGGATAGCTCAGTGGTTTGAGCATTGGCCTGCTAAACCCAGGGTTGTGAGTTCAATCCTTGAGGGGGCCACTTAGGGATCTGGGGCAAAATTAGTACTTGATCCTGCTAGTGAAGGTAGGGGGCTGGACTCAATGAACTTTCAAGGTCCCTTCCAGTTCTAGGAGATAGGATATCTCCATTAATTTATTTTATTTATTTATTTATAATTTTAATGCAGTTTAACTAATCCACTTTGAGAGACAATTTGGATTAATTTTTCTGAATGTCCCCATGTAGACAAGCCCTAACTAATGGCCTGATTTAGCAAATATTCTGATGGGACTACTTACAATAGTAAGCCCTACATGTCATAGAAGTAAACGGACCATGCATGGTACTCTGTTCAGTAGTGTTTGGAGGCTTGGGTCATAAGTGATGTGTTCTGTTCAAGGAGCTAGAGCCATGGCCGGGGAGAGGCAAGTAGGCCACCTGTGTTCCATTAATGGTGACACAGGGGGGTAGCAGGCCACCAGTCTTTTTTCCTCTCCTTCCTAAACTCACCTAGAACAACCTGTTTGCAATGGGTAGCTGACACTTACATCCTGGGTACTCATCCATCCTGGAGGGTGCGCAGGGAGGAGGAGATGATGGAGTGTCACACCTCCTGTCATGAGACAGCTCCAGCAAAGTCCCCGTTCCCCCCTTCACTCCATAAGCCCATTCCCCTGAATCTGAAATGTACATTTGCTGCTCTGGGCCCTTCTTCAGTTCCAGCACTGCAGTCAGCAGAGAAAGAGGAAGCCTGCACTGGCCTGATGCAGCCCCCAGCACGAGTGTGTGTAGGGGGATAGCCACAGGCAGCTGTGACCTACCTAGTGCTGAGATGTGAGAGAGGAGGAGAACTAAGAGAAGGGGGAAGTGGGAGATCAGAAAATGGGGAAAACATGTAGCTCTCTGAGGCAAAGACAGAGGTGAGAGCAAGAGAGGATCAAAGTGGGAGAATTACACTACAAGTGGACATTGAAAAGCCTCTCATTGGACTCTCAGCTGCCTTGCCCCACCCTTCCTGAAAATATCCCCTGCTTCAAATGGAAATAGCAGTTGCTCCAAAATTTCAGAGACTAGCACAATTTGAGAGGTGTGGAATCACTGAAAATGGGAGGGAGACATATTTTATGAGAAATTCCATGCAGGCCTGCCACACACAGGTCCAATCCAGCCCTATGCTTGTCTAGTTCATTGGCGAGTTCTCCAAGTGCAGCACAACTGTGCAAAGTAACTGCTTTAAAAAAAGGAAAAAGGCCCATGAGGTTCCATGTTTATTGTGTCTCATGACTCTAGATCAAATGCAATCAATTCACAAGTGAAAAACACGACTGCTTTTAAGTGCAAATTCAGCTTGGGGTGTAAACCCCAAACCGTGATCTTTAGGGCTCATTTCTTTGTCATCAGTAAGAAATATTACGTGGGCCAAAATCTGTTCGTGATTGCAGCCCCTTTGTCTTTATTGGGATTACTGAGGTGCATCGATACGTGTGGAGCAAAGGCCTGCAGTTAGAATATAGTTTAAAATTCTGCTGCTGCACAGGAGGGAATAGAATCCAGCTCCCTCTCTTTGAGCTGAATTGGCTCTGCCAGGTGAACAGGAACAGGAATAAAAAATAGCTTGCTTTGGTCCCTTCAGCAAGCAGATCTAACTCATTAGTCAACTAATTAAGGCTGAGGGGTAGATAAGTTGTAGTAATGTCTATGTGGTCACTTACTTATGTATGTTCAGACTGAACATATTGTGAAGGTAGCCCTCTGGATCACCCTTGATATTGGCTTGTCATTTTAGGCTCCGAGCCTGCAATTTGTTCTGTGCATGCAGATTCCTGCATGGCCCATACAGAGAAATTTTGGCCTTACTACATCATGTTCGCTGGGGCCCCACCCCCTCCCATTTCACTTTCTTTATGCAGATGTTAGACGTTTTGGGGGCCTCCCTGTGTTTGGGGGCCTGGTACGAATATCCCCCTTCTCCTCTCTCCCCTGTCAGCCCTACTCCCATTGACTTCATTGGGGCTCCATGCAGGTGTTGGTGCTTGACCGCATGAAATAACTTGATTAGATTGTAAGCTCTTTGGTGCAGAGAACATGTCTTTCCTATATGTTTGGGCAGTGCCTAATATAATGAGGTCTCAGGTCCAGTTGCGGCCTCTGGGCCCTACCACCACAGAAATAATAAGAACAACCTTCTACATACGCATTGGGAGCAGATATGTTAAAAAGTCCTATATTTCAGTAGTTCCTTTTCACAGTAGGAGGGACTGCATGATGGAATTTAGTTTTATTCTGTAAGAGCTGTGGTTTTAGGTTAAACTGTGAATTATTTCTGGTTTAATAATAATTAAATAAACTAAATGTAAGAGGAAATACCACCAGAAGTTCTGCCTCTGTAAGAAACACTTAACTATATCTCAGTCTGATTGTCTTTCAGCTCTTTATCCCTTTTGAGTATAGGTGCTGGGGGTGCTGCCACACCCCTGGCTTGAAGAAGTAGTAACAACTCAATTATATGGTTTCTACCTTTAGCACCTCCACTATAAAAACATTTCCAGCACCCCTGCCTTTGTGATTCATAAAATCAAAGTATTTTTTACCTAAATGCTTGAATAAGTCCCAGGAAACCCAGCAAAGGAACTAACACTTTTTTTCCCTGTTCTGTATTAAATAAAGCTATTGTGATACAGGCATTCAGCTACTGGAGCCATGACAAGACCACATTATAATGTTCTAGAGACACAAAGACAGTGTTCTCAACCTGCCAAGACCCAAGGGTGTAACAAAAATCCAGAGTGAGGCACCACCACAAAAGAACATCAGAGCAGGGGTTGAGGAACAAGAAGTGTTCCATTTTTAACTTGTAAAGGGCTCAGTTCTACAACGTAGGCCTCATCTACACAGTTCTAAAAACTGATTTAGTTCAATTGCCGCATTTGGACCTCTAGGGGCAGTATGGCCTAGTAGATACAGCACTGGATTGGAATTTGGGAGACCTGGGTTAAAATCCTGGCTCTGCCACTGGCTTGTTGGGGTGACCTTGGGCAAGTCACTTCACCTCCTTGTGCCTCAATTTCCTCATCTATAAAATAGGGGTGATGATGTTTATCTCCTACATAAAGCATTTTGAGTGCTATTGGTGAGAAATGCTATATGAGAGCTAGCTATTATTAGCTTATCAGATTAAACCTGGGTAGCTGGCATCTGTAAATTTACAGAAAAAGCTAAATTTTTCACACCCCTGAGCAATACAGATAAGCCGACTTAATTTTCTAGTGTAGATGAAGCCTAAGAGTGTTCACACAGGCTTTTGCATGGTTTAAGTACGCTGATTAGGTAAACTGGTGCAACTCCATGTGTGAACCTGGCCTGAGTAGCACTTGAGTAATCACAGTGAAGTCCCTGGTTCTGCTCTCATAAGTACATATTACTGGGTAAATTTCACCCCCGTGCAGAGAGCCAGAGCAAGGCTTGTGCCCCACTTAAAGTCCTATTTAAGAGTCATTTTGAAGGGTTCTCTGTGCAAGGGTGAATTTCAACCTGTGTGAGGAAACCTTGCAGTATGGTCTTTCTAACTTTGGCTGGAGTCCTCATTTCTAATGGCAATAACTTCCAGGAATAATCAGTGGGATGAGCCACACGGCCACCACTATCCAGCCTTTAGGAGCTGTGAGCCTGGCAGGGCCTGCTCTGCTCCCCCCGCCTCTGTCTGTCTCACAAAAAGCAGGAATTTGTTCAATGATCTGACTGTTTTCCCTTGGTATTTTTCAGGAGAATGCTCTGTCACTGGCCAATCCCATTTCAAAAGTTTTGACAACAAGCATTTCACCTTCAGCGGGATTTGTCAATACTTATTTGCCAAAGACTGTGCGGAGAACTCCTTTTCTGTCATCATAGAGACGGTCCAGGTAACAGCACCTTATGTGTGTGTGGGAGGAGTGGGGGGGGGGGAGGGGTGGGGTGTGAGTTGATGACTAGAGCTTCCTGTGCACATAAATGGCATTTTTCTATAAAATTAGCTAGAATCTCTCTTCTGAATTAACATATGTTTTGCCTCTTCTTGCTGCCACTCCTTTAACCCCGGGCTGTAAATGCACATTCACAGTGCGACTGCATTGTGTCTCTGGAGTTTTGCCAAGTTAGCATATAAATACAAGAGACAGAGGAGGGTGTGCCTCATACACTGAACTGTTTGTGCTGCTCGCTGGGTAATTGCCCTGGGCAGAAGCTATGGGACATGTAGTAGCATTGTTACCTTAATAGTATCTGGAGTTTTTTCTCACAGGGATGCATTGGCTAATAAGTTGCATTACTCCCTAGTATGTCAGCCCCTCTCAACTTGTTTCCTGCACCCTCTGCCACAGAGAGAATGGCAAGGACCCAGTTGCAGGGCAGGAAGGGGAGATAGCCAGAGAGAAATGGGAAGGGTGCCAGAGCATATTGGGACAGGAAGGACACCAGCAGAGTTTCCTCAGGGAGTTTTGCAGAAGGGGCAGTAAAATGGGTATGGGAGTAAGTGAGAGAACTGAGGGAGTAGGAAGGAGGGCGGGGAAGGTAAGGGAGTTTGCAGAGGGAGGAGTGAGGGCATGATATTGAGGGAGGGCAGAGAGGTAGGATAGAGAGAAAGGGCCGCAGCGGTGGGAGTGCAGAGGTTTTGGAAGGAGAGAGGAAGGCGCCAGGGCAGGTTGAGGGAGGGAGGAAGGCAGGCAGGCAGCAGAAGCAGCATGAAGAGCACAGTGACAGGGCAGAGACGGGGAAACTTTTCCAAGGCAGCAGGGACAGGTTAGGGATGGTTAAGAGGCCCCAGAGAGAAGGTGAGCAGAAAGCTCACTTGCTTTAGGGAAATGGGTTTTGCCCATCCCCACCCACAACCCCCTTCAGCGCCAGTGACTATTACGTTTGTGCCTATTACATAACAGATCTGAGATCAGAGCTGTGCGTGTGGAACTGGCATAACTGGTTTCCACTGAAACTGTTCTTTCGAAACTGATGAGGGAAGACGGGAGCTAGTGAGTCACCATTTCCTGTCTGCAGAATGTTCTACCCACAGCTTCGTAACTAGTGACATCAGCGCCCGAAATGATGAAAGTGAGAGCTGCGCGCCTCTAGTTCCCCATTTGAACAGACTTGTGACGTGTCTCATCATCACACCAGACAGAGCAGTCAAGAGGAGAGGCTCTCTCATCACACAGTGCAGCCTGCGTTCCAGGGGGCCTGCTGTCATGGCCCCATAGCTTCTTTTCCAGGGCCCTGAGAACAGATGCTGCCCTAGAATAGCCTGATCTATAGATTGTGTATTAATTACACAAAGGTACATAAGAATTTCCAGTTACCCCTCTGTGGTTTGACAGCTTCTTGTCCCAAGCTCAGGCCCAGTATTATTAAAATTTCTGTTCGATTGGGAACCCTGGTGTGCACAGTTGCAACACTTACACTTTAGGAACTTTTCTGTGTTTGTAACAGTTTTATTAATGCATGCAGCAAAGTCACAGACACTCTAACCCAGCAAGGTAGCTAGAAGTAATACAGAATGTGCATCTCACATCCCTGGCAGAACAACATGAAATGTTATCCATTATCTTCCTCATCACTATCACCTTCCTCATCATCACCAGTGGCCAGCATCCTGTAACCTCTCTCTCCTCCTGCACACAGGCTGGGCTACAACTTTTATAACATGTTACGCTGATGTCCCTATGCCTCATGTATATTCACTAGGGATTTCTCCCTTCTTATTTGTATTCCCTCACCCTACTAATGTTCGGGTGCCCTTCTCCTATAGGTTAGGATAGTAATGATCTCATCTTATTATCATATATGTCAATTTGTTGCTATGGCACTCTTGTGACCAGATATCTGCAGTTGTTCCTATCCTAGAATATCCAAGAGCTAGTGTTGGCTCATATTCCTGTGGTTTTCTGGTGTCATTATTTACAAACTTCCCCCTTAAACACTCTACTCCCAGTTCCCCAAAACTTAGAGGTGACCATTGCGCCATTTATATGTGCCAACGTTCATAGGCCGCATGCCTTATGCTAACTGCTGTAGCCAGTATAAGTTCCTTGCATTACTGCTAAATAAAATAAATACTAAAGCCAGCTCCATGGGCGACATATGTGACACTAAAATTACAGCCACAGGAGGGCTTCTGGCCCAGCATGCTGGAGGAGCTGAGTCATTGATAAAGTGAAATCCTAACAGTCATAGGAAATGTTGGCTTCTTTTTAGTGTGCCGATGATCTTGATGCAGTGTGCACCCGCTCGGCCTCTGTCCGAATCCAGGACATGGAGAACAGCATCATCAAAATGAAGCATGGGGGCGTCATCTCTCTGAATGGGCAGGATGTACAGATTCCTTTGACACAAGGTATGTTTGTGGCCCGTAACAATTCAGACCACACATTACTGTCTACATTGCACACTGAGCCCAGGCTTTACTTCAGGTTTGAGCCCAAGCCCCCTTCTGTCCACACAGAATCAGTCTGTCCCAGTCAGCAAGCACTGAGGACCCAATCCTAGGATGCTGCTGGGGTGGGTCAGAGACACTGGGACTCGGGTCCAGGCCCTGTCATTTTTACTGTGGACGCAGGTCAAGAAGGTCTGCGTAGCACAGTATGGACATGTCAGCACAGCTGTGAGACCAGCATCCAGCAATTCTAAACCCGGGTTTACAATGCAGTGTAGACACTCAAGCATGGGCTTGGAAACACTGAGTCCACAAGGCTGGGGTCCATAGACCCAGGTTTAGTGTGCAGTATAGACATACCCGAAGGTGTCTCCCTTCTCAACTTTATCAGGCAGGCTTTAGCCTGGCTCAAAAAGTGTTTCCTATTTCCAACTCTGAGTCACATTTTATACAGTTACCATCACCTTTTATTGAATTTGCATCTTGCCGGGTTCTCTTGGACATGTGCCCCGGTCCCCAGTTGGTGTAAATTGGCCCTGCTCCATTGAAGCTGGTGGGGTTATGCTGCTGTTGACTATTTGAGGATCTAGCCCACGACATTCAAAACCAATGTCAAGTATCCATTTTATCCACCCCAAAACTTGACATTTTAGAAGAGGACTGCAGTGATTTCACCAATAACTCTGGATAATGCTCACATGTGTTTCTTTTGGGGCTTTTGGGGCCTGTGAGGCCCAGATCATGCTAAGGAGAAGTGCAGAGATGCACCAGACCAGGGGATACAATACCTGTGGAGTGTCAAAGTGATGCACAGCAACCAGGGGACCATGGTTGGTGTGTCCCACTTTGTCATTGTGCAGTCTCCACCTCCCCTGCGGTGTGGTGCCAACTCCATTGGCCTGTATCATGGGAGCGGGTGATATTCTACACCTGGCCCATCTCTGCACCTTTCGGGGAGCCTAGGACCAGTAAGCAGCTGTGCTACACTAGCACTGTCTTTGTGCCCCCGTTGGTACTGGGTTTGTATCTGGGGTAAATCAAATGGTACAAATCCATATGTCTATACTAGGGGTTTGCATCATTTCCACTACATTTGTGCAAAGAAAATAGTGTAGACAAACCTTAAGTGTATCTGCTTAGATCCATCTCACAGGCTGATGGGTGATGAGGACATTGTATCCTCCTTGCTGATGACAGAATGCATCCTTTCTTGTCTGAAACTTGTCCGATGTGTTTTTGAGGTGCCCTCCGTATCCAGCGCATTATGATGTCTTCAGTTCGCCTCACCTATGGGGAAGATTTACAGATTGACTGGGATGGTCGTGGTAAACTTCTGGTGAAGGTAGTTTTTTCTCCTCTCACCCCACCCAAACATACACAAAGACTTTCTTGTCTGATGTGAGAAATTGCTTGTGTTGCATGCTAGAAATTCCATTCTCTCTCTCAGCCTTCAGAGCAATATACTGATCCCGTTGTTTTCTAGAAACAAACATTTGCATCGCAGAAACAGCTTGGGTTTTTTTCTCTTTCTTTTCTGTGCACTAACAGTAGCCATTAACCGTGAATCGCTTTGCTTTCATTACAACAGACCCCTATGGGCCAGATTTTGATTTCATTTACTCTTGTCTATCCCCACTGAAGTCAATAGGATTGCATAGGTGAAAATGAGAGATGAATTTGGCCCATAGGATACAATCATTCATATGTTCAAGGGAAAAAAATAATTTAATTGCACAGGATATACAGCATGCTGCTCCTACTAAGAATAATATTTATGGTCATTCCAGGTCAACGTAAAGAGAGAAGTTTGTATTGTGGAGCATAGGGCAACTGATTGTCAATAATAGCTTTTTGCGTCCAACAAAAAATAAGGCTAATCAGTAAACCTATAATAAATCCTTTTATATTCCCAGCAAAGACGCTTTTATAGTTTGTACTAGATTGATTGAATTTCTCAAGATTCTGCTTCATAAGCACAATGGTGAAGTGTGATTGATAATAGTGTTGATGTAATATACTTAGACGTCTTTAAGATGTTTGACTCGATGCCACATGACATATGGATTAAGAAACTAGGATGATACAAGTTCAACATGGCACACATTAAATGGATCAAAATGAGCTAACAGATAGGGAATCATCAGTGAGGTGCTTGTGTTTCAAGTGGGGTCCTACGAGGATCTGTTGTTGGCCCTACGCTATTTAACGTTTTTATCAGTGGCCAGGAAGAAAACATGAAATTAGATAAACTTTGCAGATGATGCAAAGATTGGAGGAGTGGTAAATAACGAAGAGGGCAGGCTATTCACTGATAAAAAGTGATCTGGATTGCTTGTTAAGATGGGTGCAAGCAAACAGTATGCATTTAAAAATGGCTAAATATAAATGTATGCAACTAGGACAAAGAATATAGGCCATACCTACAGGATTGGAGACTCTATCCTGGAAGCAGTGACTCTGAAAAAAGATTTGGGGTATTGTGGTGTATAATCTGCTGAACGTGAGCTCCCACTGTGAGATGCTGAGGCTAAAAAGGGCTAATGTGCTTGTATACATAAATGGGAATCTTCAGTAGGAATAGGGAGGTTATATTACCTCTGTATTTGAAACTGGTGTGACTGCTATTAGAATACTGTGTCCTGTTCTGATGTCCACAGTTCAAGAAGGATGTTGATAAATTGGAGAGGTTCAGCGAAGAGTCACAAGAATGAATCAAGGACTGGAAAACATGCCTCATAGTGAGAGACTCTATTTAGCTCATCAAAGAGAAGGTTAAGGGGTGACTTGATTACAGTCTATAAATACCTAGATGGGGAACAAATATTTAATAATGGACTCATCAGTCTAGCGGACAAACGTATAACAAGATGGTAGGAGTTGAAGCTAGACAAATCCAGACTTCAAATAAGGTGCATATTTTTTACAATGAGAGTAATTAACCATTGGAACAATTTAGCAAGAGCTGTGGTGGATTCTCCGTCACTGGAAATTTTAAAATCAAGATTGGATGTTTTTCTAAAAGATATGCTCTAGTTCAAACAAGAATTAATTCAGGGAAATTCTATGGCCTGTGCTATACTGGAGGTCAGACTAGATGATCATAGTGGTCTTTTCTGGCTTTATAATCTCTTTATGTATGAAGAGTACACACTTGGACAGTATATTGTGCTTATTCTAAGGTAAAGCCCAGGGTGGGACTATTCTTTAATCCCACTCCTCCCCGATCTTGCTATTATGGCAGCGGGTCCTGCAAGACCCATGGGATCTCAGTCTCGCTGCAGGGCTCTACACTAGTGCCCCACGGGGCTCTAATTCTAAGGGCCAAAAATATGGCCACCTTTCCCTGGAGATTAAGATGGGGAGAGTGCCCAGGGAACCCCATCATACCACCCTGTACGCACATGCAGGAGGCTGTCCTTGTGTGATTGTTACATCTTGAGGACCGCTGGTGAAGGCTAGTCAGTGCTGACCACAGCTCTTCAATCCTCCCGGGGACATGATGAGGCAGAACGGGGGTGCGGGTGTTTCTGTGGCACTGCTCCCCTGCACATTGGCCTTCAGCTGCCCACTGGAGGTGAGCGGGCTACAAGGGTAGAACAGATGTACTGACTGCAGGTCCTAACCATGCTCCCCTGCACCACCGTTATGGGCCTGATGATTGCACATCCTTTTCTTGCATTGGTGAGCACTTCCTCATGTGAGCAGGTCCATTGTTGTCAACAGGAATAATTGTGTGAATAAGAGTTTACCAGTGTAAGAGCTCCATAACTGAACCCTTTATCTGCTCTTTCACAGCATGAGCATAGTGCATCTATACTCTTGCTCTGGCTATATTCTTTTTCCTTGCCTTCCACTCTACCCAGGATGGTTCTGTCTCGGAACCATCATGAAGCTCATATCATAAAACTAGCACAGAGTTGTATCCATCTTTGCTATCGCGAATTCTGAATAAATGTTGCATAGTAGCACAAAAAGTGGGCTTAATATTCTAGTTCAAGGTAAAGGTTCATCACAGCTTCAGCAATTGAAAAAACACTGTAACAGGAGGGAAAGCTCTGGAAGGGTTTAAGAATATGGATTCAGCAATTTGTGTTTTGGTCTAGTCTAGATGTATAATACCAAAATACCTAGTATTTGTTTTAGGGTTGAGGATAATTCAGTTCAATCCATTGGCACCTCTCAGGATTTCCGGCTTTTCTCTGCATCAGTGGTCTCTTCTGCCAGGTCTCAGACCCTTACATCCTGACCATCTCCTTGCCTAGCTGTTAAAAAGTCTAATTTTCTGCTTCAACCCCTTTATCATAACAGTAATAACTGTTGCTAATTACTGTCTTAGCTGTTTCTCCCATTGTCTTTTTTTATTATGTTCTGCTATGAATTCCTTCCCATTTATGTACCTAAGTCAGCATTATTGTTGCCTTTGGAGCACTAATTTACGGTGTAAATGGACTGACCTATTGCCAAACATTTCTGACAATTGGGGGAAGTGATCCACTCCCACTGACTTGTGCAAACACTTCTGGTAAAAGTTACAGTGTTTGGATTTGCCTGCTGCATTCATTCTCTGGTGACCTCTGAAAGCTTGTGATTTGACCCCTTCAGGCAAGGCCTGCAGTTTCCAAAACATATATAGAACTTAAGTTCAGATGAACATGAGTCTCTCTGTGTTTGAAGAATAACGGTGTCCTTAGTTACAGAAATGTTAGAAATTCACTTTCTTTGGGGCTTTCTGACTTCATTTTTTCTGCGTACCCCTCACCTGCTGCTGTTGTCAGTGAGAACAGGACTGGCTTCCCTTTGGAGCCCTTCACCAATGATCTTTTATTAGCCAGAGGAATAACTGTGAAAGATACTCCACTTTTCAGCCTGCCTCTGTATCACTGCTTACCCCTATCAAGCTGAGATACAAGGGGCAGCAGTCTAGTCTATGGATACAGGGAGCTACTGTACCACTGGCCATTGGGCCATCCCCCAAGCATTGTTTGTAATATTCATTTAGAGACCACCTTCTTCTGGATGTTGATGGCCACTGGCAATTCCTATTGACCTGCCCCTCTGTCCTCCCGCCATTTTTTTGTGATATTACAATCATTCTCCGATATTTAAAAATCCTTTTCCTCTCCACTGTTGCTGTCATAAAGAGCAACACAGACAGGGGAAATAAACTACCCAAGGAAAACTGTGAAAGCGACTAGACATTAAGTGCTGTTAAATGCACAAAGTAAATACATTGGGGGGAAAAAACAGAATTTTTTTTCTCTACTTAAATAAAAATAATTCAATTGGTTAAAAAAAGTTACTACTTGTACATTTTTACTACTTGTTAAAAAAAGTATGTAAAAACTGTTTGATTTTTAAGTTGATGGTGCCCCTTTAATGTATATTTGAGGAATTTACATAGTCCATTAAAAGCACTGCCATGAAACTGTGGAGTAATATTGAAGAATAACCATTCTACCCTTGTTTCTGTGAGCTCTCCCCAATGTACACTGACAGAATCTGTGGTCTGTGTGGAAACTTCAATGGCAATGAAGGGGACGACTTTCTGACACCTTCTGGTCTCGTGGAAGCCCTTGTGGAAGATTTTGGAAATGCCTGGAAGCTCAATGGAGATTGCCAAGACTTGTTAAAACAAGACAGCGACCCCTGTAGTCTCAACCCTCGCTTAGGTACTGAAACCTGGCCTCCACATCACATCTGGTACAGTGTAACAACATGTGATCTTCCATCCCATAAAAGTGCAACTGTTTTGTGCTGGGAACAGGCTCATGATAGCGTCTGTAAAATAAAAAAAAACACCTTTCATTCCGTGCACTGAATGAGGCAGGGGTCCTGTGGGAAAAAAATACTATGTGATCATGTAATTAAAAACTGTATCATACTGTGTACACATAAGGAGGCTGAATTCAGGTTACATGGGAAACCTGACTTCTGGCTTTTCCTAACTTCAGAGGGCTTGACTCTGTAACCTTAATAATGTTCTTTTTAATGTAGTTTTTAAATTTAATTTTCTAATTTAAACAAACAAACTGAAAAAAAAAAAGCATCATGAAACTCCAGAAATTCCATCATATGGAACCATATTGATGCCAAACTTGGGTCATCGAGAGGGTTTGGACCATTAGATTTACAGCACAGACTTGAGCTAATTTGTAGAAGTAGTAGGCTATTATGCTTTATGTGGATCAGTCACAAGAGGGGGATGAAAGACAATTTGCAAGAGGGTTTCACAGCTATTTGCTGACAGAAAGGGAAATATAGAGACTCAGGACTCCTGGGTTCAATTCCCGGTTCTGATGAGGAGTGTGCTCTAGTGGTTGTAGACCCTTCTGCCCCATGCCCCTAGCCTGTCTCTGCTCCTGTTTGCCCCAGCTTCTGACTGCTCCCTCTCTGCCCCTATCCACCTATGTCACCCAGGCTCCTCCTTTCCTCCTATACACTCCCTCATCTCCTGATACCTGCTTCCCTTCCCTCTGCTTCTATGCCTATCCTCCCTGCTTCCCCACTGGCTCCTGGCTCTGTTCCACCCCCAAGTCCAGACCCTTTCTCCCTCAGGCTCCTGCAACCCTGTTGCCCCCCATCTTTTCCTCCCCACTCCATCTCTTCCCCCCCCACACATTCCAGTATTGCAGCTGCTGCCTCCTCCTCCTCCATAGTGCCTGGGCTGCAGCAGGGGGAAGGTTTGAGAGCACAGGAGAGACAGTCTTTTAGCTCTCAATTCTGGTGCCCCTGGTGTCCAGAAAGACTAATTGTACGGGAAGTTCTGCTCTCAGCCCCTGCAACTCCAGGATGGTGCATGCTCTGTGGAGATGGCGCATGCACAGCCCAGTCACACACACGAGCTGAGAGGGGATGGCACATGAAAAAATTCAGCCTGAACAGTTTAAATCTGGCATAGTTATAAGCAGCTGAAAACCGGTCTTATGATAGGAAGTGCCAGGCAAACTTAGTTACAGGTGGCGCTACCAGTTCTGCCTGTGATAACAGAACAGAAAATGGAGGTTTTCCTATGTTTATTTTGCTAATTAAGGGCTGTTATGATTTAATAGGAAATAAGCCAGCACTTACAGTCGCTTCTCTTTTAGTGTAAAGTGTCTGAATAATATTTTTCTCATTTTAGCCAAGTATGCTGAAGATTCCTGCTCAGTTCTGATGTCGTCCATATTTGAGCCTTGCCATCATGAAGTTAGCCCTTCTCCATACCTGAAGAACTGCCGCTATGATGTTTGCTCCTGTTCTGATGGCAAGGATTGCTTGTGTGCTGCTGTTTCTACCTATGCCACTGCATGTGCTAGGAAAGGCGTTCTGATCGAGTGGCGGGAACCGGACTTCTGCTGTAAGTGAATGCTGCAAAGAACTACTTTCTTGCATTGACTCTATGGTGTCCTTTGGCAAGGTCAGTGAGCCAGAGGGAGTTAAGGGACCTGATTTCTGCAAGGTGCTGAGTGTCTCCTCCAGGACATGTGTAACACGCTCAATTGTCTTGCACTCCATTAAGAGTCGAGGGTGCTCAGTTGTTCACAAAAGGTGCTCAGCATCAGGCAAAAATAGCTCCCATTGAGCAAACCTCAGCTGATTTGGTGGCTTGGTTCAGATAACTTCCCTACTAACTTTGGCTGCCTATCTGAAAATGTTCTGAATATCTTGGCTGGCAGTATCCAAAGTCTCTCATGAAGTTTATGGTAACAGGTTCTTTCATTGTATTTTGACACTTCCTATCTGGGACCCAATCCTGGGAGGCACTGACCGCCTCAACTCCTGTTGTCTTCCAAAGGAGTTGTGAGTATTAACCACAGAATCAGATCTCTGGCCCTAGGAGAAACCTAGCAGACTGTTTAGTTCAGGTTCCAAGGGAAAGGTACAAGCCAGTTCTTATTATGTCTGCACCATTTTTCCGATATGTGAGTACTATTTTGCTGTCATGTTTAGGCCTCTTTGTCTCCACTGTTAATTCTAATATGACCCTGAGGGTGAGACATCTGTGACAAGACAATGATGATTTATCATTGTTCAAGTAGTGCACAGCGTCCCTCCAGCAGGCTGTGTCTCCACTGTGCTACACACTGTACAGATATAGAGGGTGGGATTTTCAGAGGTGTCTAAAGGAGTTGGGCCATATCTACACTTAAAGCAATACAGGGGCAGCAGTGCAGCTGCGCCACTGCTGCACTTCAGTATAGACACTTACTACAGCGATGGGAGCAGGGCCGGTGCTAGGATTTGGGGGGCGCCATTTTCTTCAGCAGCGACTGCGGCGGCCGGATCTTTGGCTGCCCTAGTCGCCGCCGGCATTTAGGCGGAGGGAGCTGGGGTAGTGGAGCGCGGGGAGGGCCACCTGCAGCAAGGGGGGAGGAGGGGTGGCACGCAGGGGGGGTGCCTCAGGGTGGGGGTTGGGGAGCTGCCGCGGTGGGGGCACCTCAGGGTGGAGGGGGGGAGCTGCCGCGGGGGGGGCGCCTCAGGGCAGGGCTCGAGGACAGGGGGCGGGCGCAAGGTGGAAGTTTCGCCTAGGGCGCGAAACATCCTTCCACCGGCCCTGGACGGGAAGGATTCATTCGTCACTGTAGTAAATCCATTTCCCAGAGAGGCGGTCGCTAGATCAATTGGAAGAATTCTTCTGTCGACCTAGTGCTGTGTACACAGGGATTTAGGTCGGTTTAATTATGCTGCTCGGGGGCGTGGATTTTTCACACCCCTGCCCTGAGTGACTTAGCTGGGTTGATCTAATTTTCTAAACTACACCAGCTCTTAAGTGCCTAACTTCCAGTGAAAGCCAGTGGGATCCGAAGGCTGAATTCTCCTTAGGATTGTTTGAAAACTCCACCCATAATAAATGGCAGCCCCTGTCCCACAGAGTTTACAATCTAAAAGGCCAGGCAAAACAGGTGGCTGAAACACACAAATAGACCCGGGGGGTGGGGGTAGAGATTGATGATGGGGTGACAAAAATAGTAGGATGATTATGCACGGACCAAGAGTGTGTGTGTGAAGAATCTGGCAAGAGGCTGGAACAGAAAAAACAATCTCCCTTTTTCTCATCTCATTATTAGGCAGAGCTGGTTGGAAAATTTCCATTGAAATGAAATTTTGATACAAAATAGAAATAACTTTCTCCATAAATGTTTGCGAAAGACTTTTCTTCTTTTCCCCAAACAGCTCTACTCTTAAGGACAGTAGCCAATCAGGGATTTTGGGGAAAAGCCCTTATGGTTGGCTGCACTTCAACCCAGTTCCATTATTCCTTCCCAAACAGTAGCTGGGTGGGGCAGCCATTTGAAAAACTGTTACTGTAGAACTCAGTGAGAGGTCACTGGCGTTTCAGCTGATACAATCTCGACCAGTGAAGTTCAGTGATTCCAACTGTTGGAGGCTGGATAATATTTACTGAGAGAGAAAGAACAAGACTGGATTCTGTTAAATGGCTGTATGGTTTCATAATATTGACCTAATTTATGTAAATGTTCAGAGAGTGGAACAGTAATTCAATAAAAACCCTTTTAAAAAAAACGCACCGATCTGGAGGCTGAAAGCGAGAGCAGCGATAATGCACCATCGTTCTTGCTGTAATTGAACAAGTCAGTTTTCACAATTAATCTTTAATAGTGTAGCACTGCTTCCTCTTCTCTGTACATTACAGAGCACTTAGTGCCTGCACCAAGCGCAGATTTCTCTGACTGCAGATCCATCAGACCCCATTAGATAATTCTGATGCTCCAGACATCTCCTGTCACACGAAGGAGAACAATCATTCCTTTAATGGGCTTGAGACTTGAATATGCTGTTTGCATAATTTGTGCTGACGGCCCGATGTACTGAACTGGTGGCTGCTCCCCTGCTCTCTGGCTGAGATACAGGTTCACAGGCAAATGACTTGACAGAAGCAGTTTGCTTCATCTGAAGTTCAATAGTGGCAGGTAGACTGTGGCCTCTTTGTGCTACACACTGTACAGATATATAGGGTGGGATTTTCAGAAGTGTCTAAAGGGGTTAGGCTATGTTTAACTTAAAGCGATACAGTGGCAGCAGTAGATTACTATACTGCTAATGTACCATGGCATTTCTGGCTGTTAAATGCAGCATGATAGGCTGTCGTACAAATCCAACATACAGGTATTGAAAATGCTTCTGGCTTCATTCTAATTCATTTATCTAAGAGGGAAATCCAGGCCCTATAGCCCTCTGTGGATGCAAGAGACCTGATAAGCAGCAGAACTAGTTGTGCTGCATGGGGGTGTGTAGGAGGATGGAGTCCACCATGGGGGTTTGCATCCCCTGTGTACCACATCTCCCCTACAAGGAGGAGGTATATCAGCCAATGAGTCGCCAAGTGCTCCTTCAGGGCTCTCGAGCAGATTTCAGGGACCCATTGACCAACCCACCTCCTGCCCTGTAGATTTGCTGCAGTAGTGTCCATGTTGCATGACTTATGTGAGAGGATTTCTGTGTGAGAGAATATGTCTGCACTGCAGAGTTAACCCAGGCTCTTACTCAGGTGTTACCCTTACCCACGTCCTGTCCATACACAAAATCCTCTCACATGAGTTTGCTGGTATTTTAAACCTGGGCTAGCTGGCTTGGCTGGGGCTATGGGATAGAGCTAGGGATGTCCTTAGGATTTATGGGGCCCAACGCAGCACAGGCGCCAACTTTTTTCTGTGCCGGTGGGTGCTCGCACCCCCAGCCCCGCCCCGACTCCACCCCTGCCCCAAAGTTCCCGCCCTAACTCTGCCCCCGGTGCCCCTATTGGACCCCTCCCCAAATCCCCACCCCAGCCCCACCTCCTCCCCCAAGCACGCCGCATTCCCCTTCCTCCCCCCTCCCTCCTAGGCTTGCCGTGCAAAACAGCTGTTTTGCGGCGCAAGCGCTGGGAGGAAGGGAGGGAGGGGGGAGAAGCAGGACATGGCGGCACCCTCAGAGGAGGAGGTGGAGGCAAGGTGGAGGCAAGGTGGAGGTGAACTGGGGCAGGGGGGGTGGAGCGGGGAACTGCTGGTGGGTGCAGAGCACCCACCAATTTTTCCCCGTCGGTGCTCCGGCACTGGAGCACCCACGGAGTCGGCGCCTATGCTACGCAGTATTATTAAACTGGTGCCCCTATGCCCGACTTGCTCTTAGCAACACAAAATGAATATGGCCCCTGTCTTCTGCCTAATAAGGAGACTGCAGCGCACTCTGGGTGTGCAGGAACCGACCCACTCTTACCTGCTGTCCCGGTCATAGGCACGGACTCTGTGGATGGGTGCTCTGGGGCTGGAGCACCCACGGGGAAAAGTTAGTGGGAGTGCAGAGCACCCACCGGCACCAAGCTCCCCCCTGTGTCCCCCTCCTCCCGTGCCTCTTGTGCGCCGGCAGCCCCTCGTTTACCAACTCCTCCCCCTCCCTCCCAGCACTTCTGGAGCACCGCAAACAGCTGATTCGTGGCATTCAAGCTCTGGGAGGGAGGGGGAGGAGCAGGGAAGAGGCAGGACGGGGATGGAGGAGGAGCGTGAAGAGGTGGGGTGGGGACTTGGGGGAAAGGGTGGAGTGGGGGCAGGGCCTGGATCGGAGTGGTGGGGTCGAGAACCCACCCGGCAAGGTGAGAAGTCGGCGCCTATGGTCCCAGTAGTGCCCCAAATTTTTGGGTGCCCTATGCAGCAGTGTATGCTGCGTATGCCTAAGGACGGCCCTGGCTAGAGCTCAGGTGCCACTTTCACTCAGGCTGTGAAGACTCTGGCTAAACCAGCTTAGTGCTGATAGTCCTCCAATGCCCTTCCTACAATTCCCCATGTATGTCTGGAAGGACAGACAAGTTCTCTCACAATTCACCAGGAAAAAAATCATAGAGTGGTTCAATTTAATATACGGTGTCACAAAGAACCATGTGATGTGCCCCCAGAAGTGCTAGTGACACAGACAGCTGTGCGCAGCACCAGTGAGGACACCCAGGTATCCCATCCAGTGGTCAGGCTAACTCGAGTATTCAGGCAGGGCTGCTGATCACCCGAATTAACTCTGTGGTGAAGACACACCCTGAAGTCAAAATGACAACAAAGAAGCTCCCAAGATGGGGATGGATTTTGATGTAGAGCCACTGGCTCTTATAGTTTAGAGCAGGCATTTTTAGAGGTCACATATGCCTATCTGTTTCCTTTCAGTTTCAGCACAACCTTTCAGGGCAACAAGGTTTTGTTTGTTTGTTTGTCTGTTTGATTGATTGATTGATTGATTGCATGAATTACAAAGCATAAAGTCAATTTTTTCCTCCCACCCCCATGACCTTAGTTGCTGCTGTTAAAAAGTTTCTTAGGGGAAGAAGGTTGCATTTGTTGGTGCGGCATGGTGGAATTTGAATGTGCACATGTCATTGGACAGTTGGGCAGCCACTGTGGAGGACTGAGGATGCTTTTAATCCCTTAGTAGGGGCATGTGCAGCTAAGGCGTGTAACAGTACCTCAGCTAAAATTCGGACAAGCTGTGGCATTGTCAGTCACTAGAAACAAGGAGTGTAACTATTTGCTGGATAATTAGAAATGGGGCAAAACTGGAATCATTTATTTAAACCATCCCAAACTTTGCGACTCAAACAAATGGGTGTCTGGATTCAAACTCCCTGTGGTTTTAGTGTCCCAACCAATTCCTTTTCCAATGGTAGCTCTACAGTAAATCACAATCATAACCCTCCTACCTTAGTAATGACGAAGGAGACCTTTGAAAGTGCTCCTCAGCTTTCTGTCAGATTGTTCAGTGTGGTGTAGCTGTAGCCGTGTTGGTCCCAGGATATTAAGGACAAGGTGGATGAGGTAATATCTTTTACTGGACCAACTTCTGTTGGTGAGAGAGACAAGCTTTCAAGCCACACAGTGCTCTTCTTCAGGTCTGGGAAAGGTACTCTGAGTGTCACAGCTAAATGGAAGGTGGGACAGATGGTTTAGCATAAGTAGTTAGCACATATTCTATGGTCTCTCTAAACTGTTCAGTGTGATATAGGCACTTACCCTATTGCTGGAGCCTCACAGCCCCTCCCTAACATATTCTATACTGTCTGGGGCAGTGGAGTAGCTGCTTCCACATAGATCCTTCATGTGTAAATTGGAAGTGCCATGCCATCAAACTGCAGCCAGAGGCCCATGCAACTGGGATAAAAGAGAGTGTCTTTTATTTTCATTGCTGAATCAGGGCACGCCTCAGAGTATTTGCTCTCCAATAGGTGCCCATTGCTCTGGTGAACTTTGATGGACCCCATAGGGCTCTATTGCGAGAGGAAGGATGGTGGTTAAAGCACTAGCCTAGGAGTTTGGAGACGTGGGTTCTAGTCCCTGCTCTACTACAAACTTCCTGTGTGACCTTGGACAAGTCATGTAGCCTCTCTGTGCCGCAACATCTCATCTATTAAAGACTTTGAAATGGGTAATGGGAGCCATATAGGTACCTAACATAGATAGATTGTGTCTTTGGGACTGGTAGCATGGGGTGCAGAGAGACAGTTCCCAGTAGTATCGTGTCTGAGGTAGGAGCAATACCATGAGAGCGGGATGGGAGGAGCATAGATCAGTGGCCAACCTTGCACTCTTTAACAGAGTGCAGCATGTGCTCTCCTAGCCCCTGTGCTGGCTTACGTCCATTGGCTGGTGTGGAAGAGGGTGGAGCCATGGCCCGACCGTTCGCTATTCCTTCTGGGGTTTCTCTGATAACCAGGAGGGAGCCCTAGAGTCTTCAAGGCCTTCTGCTTGGGGAATACAAGGGCTGGGATTGTCTGGCCCTTCTGCAGGGTAGAATGCTGAGAAGGCTCCTGCACCCCCCTTGACCTAAGCTTTAGTTGTGATAGAAGCTTGCAAAGTCTGATCTGCAGCTGCTGTCCTCACTCCATTGAGTGTCCTACAACAACTTAGAACCCTGCTGTTTCCATTATAAGCTTGTTACAAATCCGAATGCTTCTGCAAATCCTAGTTAACAATACAGCCTTTGAGCAGAAATAGTATGACCCCGAGAGCAGCCTGTTCCCGGTCTTGTGGAAAGGCGAGGACTGACACGGCTACAACTACACTACATGTACATTTGTTGTCATTGCTGCCACCTCGTGTTGGATGCAGGTACAAACCAAGAAACATCTCCAAATCAATACTACTAATTACAGCAGTAGACCAAGATATTAGAAGGCAGAGCCCCAAAGTTAGGCTCTGAAGGTCATAGTTAGGTCCCTGAAGAAGGGGTCTGACTATAAAAAGTGCTGACTGCTGGGTGCTCAGCACTTTTTGAAAATCATGCCACTTATACATTGATTTAGGAATCTAACCGTAGGTGCCCATTTTTGGCAATCTTGACCCTAAACTACATTGTTTTTGAAAACTAAGTAAAAAGAAGGAAAGATACAGGTAGAACAATGATTTTGTAAACCCACAACTCCCTTTTAGAGCCAAGTAACAGCAGAAACTGGAGGCAGTTTGTATTACCCTTTCCCCCCATTTGTGGGAATCTTTTTCCAACATTCATTATCGATTCTGCTTGATGCTGTACCTTGCTCACATTGTACAAGTGGTTCCATTGACTTCAGTGGAACTATCTGCATGAGTTACGCCAGCAGGATATGTCCCTTGATGTGCCACTGGTGGGTTTTCTGTTCTTTTTGAAATAATCTCCTTGTTAGGATAAAAAGATCTAATAGTAAAAGTGAATCAGAAAAAACAACACTGTTATCAGATCCAAAAATAGGCAGCTATTCATTTACAGCCTGGTCCAAAGTCAGCTGAAGCCAATGGAAGACTTTTCATTGATTTCAATGGGCTTTGGATCAGCCCCATATAATATATCTGTTAATGTGAAAATGTTCCCCACTGATTACATGAATTGTACGGGACAGTGGGTCTTTCCATTGTGGTTTCATCGATGTGTATCATTTAACAGCAATGACTTGTCCAGAAGGCCAAATTTACCAGCAGTGTGGAACTCCATGCAACCAGACCTGCCGAGCTCTATCCTACCCAGATGTAGGCTGCAATGAGGTCTGCATGGAAGGCTGCTATTGTCCACATGGGCAATACATTGATGAGCATGGAGATTGTGTACCAAAGTCCCAGTGCTCTTGCTACTATGATGGTGAGATCTTCCAACCAGATGATGTCTTTTCAGATCATTATACCATGTGGTAAGTGCAGTACTCATAACTGATTTCAGTTATTCCTTTACATACCATTTAAAGAAGTTTTTGAAAAGCCTCATTAGATAACTAGGCCAAACCGCTGGTGTAAATTGGCATCGCCATACTGAAGTCAAAGGATCGGTGCCGATTTAAACTAATTAAGGGTTTGCCCATAACTAATCTAAATCTAGGCATCTTCCCAAGACGTATCAAAAGCATCTGCATCAGGAAGCAGGATATAAAACCAAATTTTTCTGCAAAACATTCTGCCAGTTTGAAATGGAGTTTAGTAACTTGCTTACAATAGCCCTTTAAATACTTTTAAAAATGTCTTTTTAATGCACACTAATACATTTTTTAAAATGCTTAAAACCTAATTATATCTATCAAAAAAAGCAACTACTAAGTAGCATTTATAATTATTAAGTGGCAACTAGGAATTGAATTGATGAACTGTTCCTGACAAGTCCAATTTCTGGAATAATATCCTCTCATTTTCCCCTTAACCAGAGAGGTCACATTGAGAGCAGTAAGAGGCCACTTCTCCTCCACACTGCAGCAAATAGGGCTGTGTCACCATTCTGTTACTCATTTTTATGCCAGTGTAGCTCCATTCATTTCAGTTGTGTTACATCAGTACGACACTGGAGTAATGTAATGATGAATAATCATGTGTGCTTAAAGGCAAGTTTGCCTTGGTAGGTCAAGGCAATGGCTCTCAACCTTTCCAGACTAGTGTACTGCTTCCAGGAGTCTGAGTTGTCATGTGTACACTTCACTTACAAACTATTTCACTTACAAACTACATGCTTTCAAAATTAGACATAAAAATAGAAAAGTGTCACTGCACATTATTACTGAAAAATTGCTTACTTTCTTATGTTTACCATATAATTATAAAATAAATCAATTGGAATATAACTACTGTACTTACATGTCAATGTGTAGTTTATAAAGCAGTATAAACAAGTCATTGTCCGTATGAAATTTTAGTTTGTACTGACTTCGCAAGTGCTTTTTATATGTAGCCTGTTGTACAATTAGGCAAATATCTAGATGAGTTGATGTACCCCCCTCTGCATACCCCCAGGGGTACGTGTACCCCTGCTTGAGAACCACTGGGTTAAGGATGGGTAGTTCCATACCCACATACAGTGGGTATGGAACTATGATTGCCCGGTGTATGTACAAATTGCTAGCTACAGCCTTGCATTTCTTGTAGACTCTTTAAAAACCATAATGTAAGTGAAAGTTAAATGTCAGTTTGTTAAATATAGCTGCTGTTTGTTTTTCTTTCATAGCTATTGTGAAAACGGCTTCATGCACTGCACTACAAACAGACTCCCTGGTACCTTCCTGCCAGATGTTTTCTTTGACCATCAGCCATCTGCCAGAAGTTAGTATGCTTTAAAAAATTTATATTTGTTGTTATTCTTTTCTACAGTATTTTGCTACACGGTTTGAGGGAAGGGATGCAACAGTAGTGCTTGGGCGGGTGGGAGTGTGTCTATAAAAACAGTGCCTTCTATGGGATGGAGTTGGCTACATTTCCATCTTCAGGAGAATCTGAGGGTGTTCATTGCATTGCAGTGAGATGCTGAGCACCACTCAGGATTGATTCATAAAGCAATTACAACTACCATTGCAGTTTCCCTTTAGCTAAAGGGATTAAGGGTGATGATCACTTAGGGTTAATTTTAGCCCCCCCAGTTGCTATTGGACAATCACATTACAGCAGAGATCCAGTCAGCTTTGTACCCTCTTTGTTGGGCGAGAAAGTTGTAATCTTCTCTTTCGGATGTGGCCCTTGTCTCTGTTATCCAGACTTTTGTAACTTTACAATGATACTATCGCAACGCACGCTACAAGAGGCTACACCTTAAAACCATTTGGAGACCAAAGTTGGTGTAAAACACAACAGCTGGCTCACTGAGTGGGGCTGCTCACTAGGAGCACATGACTCCAGGAACTGCACTGGCTGCCCATTGGTCTCCTGAGGGTGTCTAAGCTGTTGGTTATGACCTATATAGCCCAGAATGGCCTGGAACCAGCCTACAAGAGGGACCCCTCTCTCCCCTTGCTGTGCTAACAGACCTGTGGTCCACAGGGGCACGTGAGCTGGATCCCCCTTGTTATAAAAGAGAGGGGCCAGCTGGCAAGGTGTTCTCCGTGCAGGCTCTGGGACTCTGGAACTTGTCAGAAAGAGCCCAAATTGAATGACTTTCTGGGCAAGCTGCAAAAGACACCTGTTTAAGAGGGGGTTTGGAGAGGGCCAAAGGTATGCTTCCAGGATCATGAAGGGATAGAGTTGGCTGAATTCCAGTTGAACTGATTACTTCAATGCTGCTGAGCTTTACCGGTATTGTGAATGGTGTGTTAGGGCACCTAGGGCCTTGGATAGGGATCTGTTTAGATATTTTTTAAATAGAAATAAATACAAATAAATATAACAAGAGCTGGTTGGAAAATGTTGACTCTCCATCAAAAAATGGAAACCCCAAAAGTCTGGTAACTTTATAACTATGTTGGTCAGAGGGGTGTGTGATGGGTTCCCCCCAGGGTGCCACCTGGAACTGGGGTACCACTGAGCCCGCCTGACCCACCAGCCTGGGCTCCCTCACACACTGTGCCGCTGTGACAAGTTGCTAAACTCTCCAAGCGTGCTCTTTCACCAGCATACACACAGGTAGGGACACACGCAAGTTCTTTAACCAGCCCCTGCATGGGAAGGCATAGCTAAGGTACCTCCCAGTTCCTAAGGCATGCACCCCTCTTTGGAGGGTAAATCCAAAATTATACTGTTTTGCACTGCACAGGGAACTGCACAGCTTATGCTCATGAAATTCATCCCCTCCCTCAATGTGGAGAGGAATATACACAGCTTTCTGCCCCGAGTGTGATTTCCACACACTGGTTTTAGTTAAAACAGAAACAAGTGTATTAACTAGAAAAGAGAGATTTTAAGCGATAGCAAACAGATCCAAGCAGATTACCTTAGTAAATAAACAAAACCGCAAACTGAGCTTAACACACTAGATAGGTAGGATATGAATTAGCAAATTCTCACCCTGAGTGATAGACAGGCTGGCAGATTCTTTAGGCACAAGCTGCCTAGGCTCTGCAGCTTGGGCTTTCCAGGTTTTCATACACAAGCTAGAAATCCCTCTAGCCTGGGACCATCACGTCCCACAGTTCAGTCCTTGTTCCTCAGGTATTTCCGGGGGTGGGGTTGTAGGGAGAATGAGGAACCCTCAGGATGTCATTTCCCCCCTTTTATATCTTCTTCCCAATTCCTGGAAAGCTCTTTGCTGTGACCTGGGTCAAACAGTTCCCATTGTGTAGTGCTATCTCTGAGAGGTTTCTATTGTACACAGTTCCTGAGGTAATCCATGTGCTTGTGTGCATTTCCTCAATAAGCCATTAACCTTGTTTGGCCTTTTTATTGTTATAAGGCTGCTTGTGGGTGTTTTCAACCTCCCAACATGTTTCAGTACCACATACATAGCTTAACTTCACATATGACAATAGCACATACAGTTCAACAAGATATTACTGACTAGCAGATCAAGACTTTTAGAATGTTACCTCACAAGGCATACTTTGTACAAAACCCTAACCCTCACCCTGATTACATGATAGTGGTGAATATTGGAGTGCCAGGGTGTCACAGGGGATTTTCTTTTACTGATCTAGGCTATGTCTATGCTGAACAGCACTGGTGGCGGCATGTAGGGTGTGAGTAGTTACACACAGCAGTGAAAGACTCTGGTCAGCAGTAAGACAGTGGGGAAAGGCTCCAGCAACGTGGAGCTGCCAGAGACTTTCCCTATTGCCTTTCCTTGATGGAGCATATACCTGCTGCTGGAATCTTGCTCTCCAGTGGGGATAGGCTCTGCAGCAGGGAGGCAGCAGGACACTACGCTGCTACAAATAACAGTGTATAGATGGGAGAGGCACTGCTTGGGCATGTAGAGAGCTGTGTAAGGTGAATACCCTAAGGTTCTGGCATGTCTTTATTCATCTAAGCAGAGCCTTATCGTATACACTGCTATTTATATCCATGCTAGGGGAGTGTGTATTGCGTGTACTCGGCACACTGCCATAATGGTGTGCACACTGTTGACATGCCTATAGTTGTATCAGCCTAGTGAGGATGCAATTATACTGAGTGCTTTACACTGATATACCTTATTCCCCTTCCTTAAGGGGCATCACCTATATGGTACAAGCACCTTTCTCTCAGTATAACTGTGCCCACGTTAAGGGATTATACTGCTTTCACTATACTGGTGTAGTTAAAGCAGTACAACTTTTGTGTTGTCCCGTTGACTTTCACTGTGGTTTTTAGAAATGTCACCCTCTAGCCACACAGGCATGGGAAACTTGGTTTGGAACCTATGTTCTGCTTTAGTCCTTTCACAAAACCAAGCTTCTGATCACGATGCTGATAGATCCCTAGGAGCAGTGCTATCCTAATGAAATTTTCTTCTTAATTACAATTGTTTAAATTTTCTTTCTTCAAGTAAAAAGAAGCTTGATATGCAGGGCACCTATGGACAAGTTTGTTTGTCCTCCAAACAACCCAAGAGCTGAAGGGATAGAGTGTACCAAGACCTGCCAGAACTACGACTTAGAGTGTGGTAGCCATGGCTGCATATCTGGATGCCTCTGTCCCAAAGGAATGGTAAGCAAAATGTGAATTGCTATGTTTAGTAACTGAGGCAAATAAAAGTGGATCATCCTGATGTTCTTGCTTTCATTCTTTCCCATCCACAGCTTTCCTGCTGTTCAAAACCATGTGGTTGGTTGCAGTGTATTCTGCAACAGGTAGCATAATAATTGAGTGCTAACAGCCACATTTTGATGCCCCAGAGCAGGTACATTGGGAAGGGAAAATGCACAGAAAACCCCTTCCTCCTACCTAGCACCCTTTCATAGAAAGCAGCCAGAATGACTATGCACCAAGACAATGACTGATTAAATCTCATGGTTCAAGGCTTCAGCTGGCTGCCTGCAGGAAGGATTTTTTTCTCTAATGCCCAATTACCCTGATGACTTTTGCCTTTCTTTGAAGCATCTGAGATTGACCACAGCTGGAGATAGGACACCAGACAAGGTGGACCAGTGTTCTGAGGCAGCAGAGGTGCCTACTTTCTGAATTCCCCAGGGGTACTCGATCCCTGCTCCACCCCTGGCCCTGCCCCACTCCACCCCTTCCTCCAAGGACCCACCCCCGCCCTGCCTGTTCCTGCCCTGACCCTCCTCTTCCCACCCCATTCTGCCCCCTCCCCCGAGCGCACCCCACCTTTGCTCCTCCTCCTCACCCCAGCGCCTCCTGCATGCTGCTGAACAGCTGATCCACGGGAGGCAGGAGGCACTGGGGGTGGGTGAGGAGCTGATTAGTAGGGCCTGCTGGTGGGTGCTGAGCACCCACTATTTTTTTCCCGTGGGTGCACCAGCCCTGGAGCACCCATGAAGTCGGCGCCTATGTGAGGCGGTATAGAAAATGCTCCTCCTTAGAGTACATTTAGACTTGGATCTGGGGTGTTATTCCCAGTTTGAGGAGACATACATGTGCTAGCTCTCTTTGTGCTACCATGCTAAAAATAGAATGTAGCCATGGCAACATGAGCAGCGCTATGGCCTTGCCATATCAAGTACATACCCATCTGAGACCATAGGCATGTACTCGGGGCGGCTAGCCCATCCCACAGCTCATGCTGCTGTGGCTACATTCTATTTTTAGCACTCTAGGACAATGAGAGCTATGATGAATATGTCTACTTGAGCTGGGATTCACAGCCCCAGCTCCAAGTGGAGACATAGCTTTTGATTCCTGTCTAATGTGCATTGCTTATTGTGCTCAAGGTCAAACTTATCTCTAGTTTTGCGGTCAGGATGGAATTCCCCCCCCCCCCCCCCCCGGTCAGATTGGCAGGGACTTAGGGTTTTTGCCTTTCTATTCAGCATGGGCCATGGATAATTTGCTAGCATCATCTAAGTGTATCTCACTAATCAATTCCCTGGCATTGCAGGAGCCTCAGGTGTAGGTGGCACCTTGGTCTCTCCTGCTCTCTGCTTGTGTGGCTCTCCTACTACACAACAGTTTAGTCCTGAGGACTGATATGCTTTAGTCTAATTTACATCAGCGGATTCAATATAGGAGTATCTGGGTGAGATTTAATAACCTGTGATATACCGGGGGCCAGACTAGATGATCTAATGGTCCCTTCGGGCCTTAATCCCTATGGAATCTATGAGAATGCTGCAGCCATCATTCTCAGAGCATGGGGTAGGGATGCTGCACAACCTATCGGGGCTTGTCTAGCCAGGTAAGGAGGTCTCACTCACCCACACAGCTGGTAGTGCCCAGAGGCCAATGTGAGTGGGTTACAGTTGGAACTCAGTGTATCTTTTATACAGCTGCTGTAGACAGTATTTCTGTGCCCACTCCCCCTAGTAAAACTGATCGGAGAATGAAAACATTTATCTGTGAATAATTTATATGACATATGAAGGAAAAAAATTGTTGAACAAATTATTTTAGGGAAAAAATGCTGGCAAACTAGGGGTTTTGTTGTGTCTTGATTTAACTTTCCTTAAAACTCAGAGACTCTGGTTGGAACTGCATTTATAGTAGTCCAAGGCCTGTTAATATTGTCTTCTAAACTAGATCATTTATCTGCCTATCTACAAACCTAGCATAAACCAAAGGGGAAAGGTTTTTTGTTAATTATGGAGCTGATTTTTGTTTACAGCTATTTAAGGTTTGAGCTCGAAGTAGTGCAGATTTCCTTGTGTGGAGATTTGCTTTTAGTTAATAAAGGAAAGCATTTGCACTACTAGAAGTTAAAGGCAAGGTTTTATAAAATGGGTGATTGTATTTAAGCTCCTAAATTAGTATGTAGGCACCCAAATAAATGCTAGGATAAGTATCCAGTAGTTCCCAGTAATTTCAATAGGAGTTGCTGGGTGCTGAGCACTTTGGAAAAATGAGGCCAATGATGTAAGTTCCTAAATATGAATTTAGAAGGCCAACTTTAGGCACCCATTTTTTAAAATTTTGGTCACTATTTCCACCATGTTTACTAATGCTAACTTGTATCAGTAGAAATTCTGTCACCCACCCAACATTAATAAATACATATATAAAAAGAGACTCTCCCTCTGGGCCCCCCAGTGCATCTCCTTTGTTGAGGTCTCACTACTTAGAGTGTAAGCTGCTCCAAGCACAGACAGTCTTTTCTTTGATATTTTAAAGCATGTGGTGCAGAGTATCAGATTTTAACCAATAATGCGTTCTAGAGCTGATAAGAAAAGGTTTCCTCCTCCCCCCGTCCCCCAGAAAATTCTGAGTTTTTGGAGAAAAGTTAAAACCCAACATATTTTGGCCACAATCCAATATATTTTTATTCTGAAATGGTGCCTCCTGGGAGTTATAATTCAGGTACCTCATGTTCCCATTCTCCTCTTTAGGCTGGGCTCCTTGGTCAACTACATCTTCTGTGATGCATCAAGACCTCCCTTCTTGGTTAGGGGAGGTGGCGCTCCCAGTATTTCAGTTTGTGGTGAAAATGTTTTGGTTTTCGCTTGAAAACAGAGAATGTTTCCATTTGGGGCATTTGATTTTTCAATGAAAAATTGTAATTTTCCTCAGAAAGAGAATTTTTGCAAAAAAAAGTTCATTTTGACAAAAAACCAATTTTCCATTGAAAAACCTTTGCCGTGGAAATTCTTGAAACAGCCCTCGAGAATTCACTATGTTCACTAGTTTTGAATTCTATCTAAAACAGTGGTTGACTTCATTTGTAGCAACTATGTAGATTTATAGACCTGTGGTGCTTTTTCTCTTGTATGTGAGTATAGTTCTTTTCTCTTTCAGTATTTCTTCCAATATCTTACTAGAAACTAGATGGCTTATTAGACAATAATTTCCAGGATCACTTTCCCTCTTTATTTTTTTTGGAAGATTGGTACCATATTTGCTGATAATCAGACATTTATAGGGGCAGAGTCTGCTCCAAAATAGAAATGCTTTCTGATGACAGCAGCTGAGATTGTGAGTTGCAGCTAGGATGAGGAAAGCTCCTTGTACTTCCAGCTGCAGTCTTTTGTGTCAGCAGTGAGCAATGCAAGCAATGGGCTAGTTCCAACAGCACTCTTTTGTGGCAGATACAAAACTGTGATTGAGAAAGATTACACATCAATACTTTCAAGGACAAATTATTCAACTGCAAGAATAATTCATTTTCCTCTTTATTAAAACTGTGTTACTACTTTTCAGATTTCAAATGCTGAAAATATTCCACTAATTTTCCTTGCTGGGAAGGGGGCAGGGAGAATCTTCTAGCATAGTATATAGTAATGTTAGTAAGTGAGCCTCCCAAAGATTTGCAGTCTGTTTGGGTTCATGCCAAAGTCTGTCAGAATTATCCTGATCTGCTCAATCTGCACAATGGGTGTGAAATTTGGGTTTGCTTCCAGGAATTGGTGAAGATCAAGGGTAGAGCTATTCCTATAATGAAAAAAGTAGTCATAATTATTCAATGGGGGAAAATGCCAACGTTTGAAACTGAGGACTTGTCTACACTTGAAATGTGTACACTTCAGTGTAGGCACTGCCTATGCCAACAGGAGGGGTTTCCCCCATAGGCACTGACTCCGTGGGTACTCCAGCTCCCACTGGCTGCCAGCTTTCCCCCTCAGCCCCCCAGCACCTCCCACCTGCTGGCAGCCCCACTGATTAACTCCTCCTCCTCCCTCCCAGCACCTTCTGCCTGCCACAATCAGCTGTTTCGTGGCATGCAGGAGGCTCTGGGAAGAAGGGGGAGGAGTGAGGACAAGGCACACTCAGGGGAGGGTGGAACTGGGCAGGAAGAGGCGGGGAAAAGACAGGGTGGGGGTGGGAAGAGATGGGCGGGGCTGGGGACTTGGGAGGTGGGGTGGGGTGGGGGCGGGGCCTTCAGCAGAGCAGGGGTGGGAAGAGGTGGGACTAGGTGGAGGCTTGCGGGAAGGGGGCGGGTGGGTGGCAGGACCTGGGGCGGATTGAGGGGTTGAGCAACTCCTGGGCCCGGAGGAAGCCAGCACCTATGGTTTCCCCATTGGCGTCGGTAATACACCTTCCCAAGAGCCAGTAACTAGCTTGATGGAAGAATTCTTCCATCAGTCTAGCACTGTCTACACTGGCTTCAATATGCCACTTGGGTGTGGATTTTTCATACCCTGCCCAACATAGTTCAGCCAACCTAATTTTCTAATGTAGACTAGGCCTAACAGCCTCACAGTGGCTTTATTTAACCAGTGCTACTACACAGGTTCTTATTTTTTCTGAACTGCTTTGATCCGTCATTCAGACAATTACTGCACCAGCCTTGGTCTACACTCGAAAGTTATATTGGCACAGCTATGTTGGTTCGGGGTGTGAAAAAACCACACCCCTGAAAGATGTAGCTATGACATAAGTCCCAGCATAGACACAGCTATATCAATGGAAAAGTGCTTCTGCTGATGTAGCTACTGTTGTTTGGGCAGGGGGTGTTCCTGCACCAATGGAAAAATCCCCTATGCTATGGGGCTATACCGACATAACTATGCTAGTGTAGTCTCCGTAGTGTGGACATACCCTAAGACTCTTACCAGAAGAGGCAGCTCTTGGAATTTGATGCAAACTTCCCCATTGAAGTC